GTGAGCCACTTTATACTCAGCCCAAGACAGAACAGAAGCCCCCAGAGACATCCTAAACAATCTGCAAGTCATAGCGGCCAGTGGCCCTGCAGGCCCAACCAAGAGTTTTACACGCTAGGAAATTCAGAGTCCATCTTCCCGAGGGGTGGACCAACAGGCCAACTGCCATGCTCCTCCTCACAGAGTGCTGTGCCTTTTGTCCCCACAGGGTTTCACAGAATTCAAAACCAGAGTCGGGGGAGGAGGCCTGAGCACAAAGGCCAGGAGGCAGCGCTGAGCGAAGGCCGCTGTGTGTTATTAATCCGTGTGATTAAGCCGGCATGCTAAGGAGGGCTGCGGAATCAAACCCCGCGTGGTTTTGATCCACACGGATTAGAAGACATTGCGGCTTTCGCTTGCCAGTACCCGGTTCGCTTTGTGTGTGCGTTTCATTCTTCAGACTCCGCCGGGCACAAAGGCGAGAGAGCATTCACAAGGGGACCCAGTGGCACAAGCACTTTGACAAATGTCCCCGTCTCCCCTCCCTTTCTGGGACACACTTCCTGAATTTCCCAAGAGCTAAGCTCTGGGTTTGTATTTGCATCATTTCCTCCCAAAAGCTGAACTACTGGGAGCTGCCCCGCCCCCAGATGCAGATGTCTGTCAACCCATGAAAGGTAGTTTTACACCAGGAGGTGCGAGAAAGTGGAGAGAAGGGGTTCAGACATATTCCCTGTCCCAGTGGGAACCAGCCCTCTGGAGTGAGCAACCCCAAAGATCCCTCACCAGAATCTGAGCGTGTTCTCACAAGCTCAGGGGAGTAGAATGGATGCTCTCAGCTGTACCAAAGAAAAAGCAAGACATCTTTGGAGGAAGAGAAGAGGTCAGCAAGAGAGATGCTGCCGGGCTGTGCCTCCTCCTGCCAGCTACAGCGTGATTCTGACGTAGATGTGCAGACCCGCTAAGACACAAAGCAAAATGACAGGAGCAAGCAGGGACTTCTCTGGGGAATCACTGTGGTCTGAGCCAGAGGGGTCACCAAGATTTGAGACTTTTGTAGAGAATGAATTTAGCTGAGGCCTTTATCAGTGCTCTGTGGACCGATCGGTGACTCTGACGGGAAACACAAAAAGCTTCCCCAAACCTGTGGATACAGGGCCATGCCTGGCTCTGAGTTTTAGGAAGAAATGAGGGCTCCAGGCTAACAAGGTCCCAGATCTCCGTCTTCCTTTTCCTCTCCCCGTCTTTCCATTTTCTCTACACTCTGGCTCCTCACCCTACTGCACAGACAGAGGTGAAGAGCCGGAACGGTGCCTCTTAGGTGACATTCTGTGGCCACCAGTCAACATCAATGGATAGAGCTCATCAGGAAGCTGGGTGCTTTGGTGATCTCCTTATGGAATAAACTGGGAGACTTTATTCATATTTTTTTCCTTAGTGCTGCCCCCAGTGTCCAGTGCTTCTGCTTACTATTGAGCAGTTATTTACTTACTAAGCACTGTTGAACTGCATCTTAGGAATCCATCTCAGCCAGAAACCATAGCCTTTCAATGAAGTCCCCTTGCACTCACTGAAGAGATGTTTATCTGTATGAGCCCCACTGGAATTCCCAATGCTGGAGAGTACCTGGCCTGTGACAGCCCTGTCCCAGTGACCTCTAAGAGCGTATGTTTACATCTGCGTATGTCTCTGTGTGTATGTGTGCACACACCTGAGCACGCCGTTCTCGGCATTTCTATCGATTGGGTCCCCTTCTCCACCTCCACCCCCTCACATCCTCACGGCCACTGCATCCCTCTGGCTCCTTTGTGCTTTCTCTGTTGTCTTCCTGTTTTGCATTCCTGCTCCAGTTAGGAGCACACGGCGGTGGTCTCTAAATGTAGGAGGGAAGAGGGACTGTGACCTCAGTGCTGCCATGGAATTTAGGACATTTTTTAATCTAAAACTCTTCCTCATGGCTGACAAAGCCCTGCCCAACCTCAGCACCGTTTGCTTTCATTTCAGCTCACAAACACCTTCCTTTCTCCAGAAGGCATGTCAATCCTCTAAGCCTCCATATATTAACTAGCTCCAAGCCTGCTGTGGTCCCTCGGTCGTATAGAAGCTGCTTTAATATAAGATTTACTGAAGTAAAATTTGCATAGTGTATAATTCACTGATTGGCATTGAGCTCTTTGCCACATCGAATATGCAGATCTGTAACCATGATCACAATTAAGATCTAAACTAACGTTCCAGTCACCACAACAAAGCCTCTTACTAAAAAAAAAAAAGTCTACATATTATTCATCTGATAGCTGGATAAACCATGGCCAATGCATGCAATGGGCTAACACTCACCACTAATGCCATAGATCTGAAATGCATTATAGTTAATGAAGGGAGTTCGATAGGAAATTGAGTGTCAAAAGATTCTATTGATATGAAAACCTAGGAATGAGAGAACTATGAAGATACTAAATAACCTGTCTGTCATCAGAGTCTGAGGGGCAGGGGCTGATTCCAAAGCCTATGGTCTTGCACTTCCATCTGTCTTTAACTGCTCCTTGAGACAACTGAATCCATCGCTTCCCTAACTCCAGTCTCACTAGGGGTCTTCCCAGCTCAGATCCCCATCCTGATACAGCACCCAGGACCAATGTGCTGTTCATCTGTCCTAAGGGCTATGTAAAGTCAAGTATGTATCTCAGCTCTAAAGAGTCCCTGATGACTAGTTATCCCCACCCACTGGTGCACCCTGGTCGTAGCTTATATGAAGACTTCAGGTCACCAAATTTAAGATGGACAATTAAGCACTTAGAGCCATCAGTGGAAGCCACATAACTCTAATGCAGGACACTTATCAAACAGTTACAGCCACAACCTCAGCTCTCAAGATCCTCAGCCACTGAATTTTGAAGTCCTGCATGCTTCAGACGGATATAGTGGTCTTTTTGCTCGTCCTCTAAATTTTGAAAAGAATTAGGATGTAGGCATTTGCTTTTATTGATTTACACCAATTGCCTGAAACAGTGAGGAAATGCCTAGTGGAGTCTTTGTCTGATACTAGCTAGAGTGGGCTACATCAAAACCCACTTTAATACGTGCTAACAAACCCCTGAAATGTGAAATCCTTACTACAGTCATCTTTTGGTGTCCAAAGGGGACTAGTTCCTGGACTCTTTTTCCACTGGCACCAAAACTTGAGGTTGCCTGTGACCCTTATAAGAAGGCATAGTACTGGCAAAAAAAAAAAAAAAAAAAAAAACAGGGCTTCCCATGCAGTTTAAATCATCTCTGGATTAATGCGATACATGATGATAATATGTATATTATGTAAATACTTCTTAGGCTGTGTCATTTAATATAATGACAAGATTGAAAGGTCTGCATATGTTTACAATAGACCTATTTATCATAGCCATAAACACACTGTGAGCTGTAGTTTGCTCAAACTATGGATATAAAGCCTTGGATAAAGATCTCATCAAAATTATACAACCTAGGGCATTGAAACCGTCATAAAACCAACAAAGCCTTTCAATCGCCCTTATATCCAAGCATACGTAAGAAATGGATGGAGCAGCAGCCTGCCTCCACCTTAGGTTTAAAAGCCATCTTCGAGCAAAGACAAGCTAGGTTCAGTCCTGTTTGTGACCAAGCCTCTGTCTTTCCAGGATTGTGCATGCCCCACCTGTAACCTTAACCACAAATGGTTCTGTATGGCCTGTCTCAGGAACGGCAGCCGTGTCTTTGTTTCCACAGGTTATAAGATCACCTGTGACTACCTTGTTCTGAAGACTGCTGTGATTCCCTTATTTTGATCACCTGTTTTGTTCTGCTCCTGTAACCCCACTCATTGCCCCCCACTTGGAAACTCCCTACCCCTGAACTCCATGAAAGCCTCGTCTCCCCACGTCCAGTGTTGACCTTGTGGACCCCACCTTAGATGGAAATAGCCCATGTACACAAATTAAAATCCTCGCTTTAATTAAGTGCTTGTTTTAATTACTTTGGCCACGATGGCTTGGTTCTGTGGTCTCTCTCCTCATGTCTTTGGGATGAACACTGATGACGCCATCATGTATGCAAATAAGCAAGCAAAAACTTTCAAACATTCAAAATTAATAAAGGAACAGCCCACGGATCAAAGCACAATTATAATCTGCCTCATCAATTATTGTAAAATTATTGCTTTTTCTTAGATAATAAATGGGTCATTCAACCCAGTTCCCTTTCAAGCCAGGGAAATACTCCTCAAAATGGGGTTTACCAGTAGTCCCCAACTGCACCATAGTCCGCAGGGAGTGTGCACAGTAGATAAGAACGCAGCTGCACATCACACTGGTCTCGTAAAAAAAAAAGTTACGTTCTTGTATAAAAAAAAGCTTACCTTCCATGAATTTAGTTTGGAAAACTATCCCCAAACCTGCCTCTCTTTCTCTTTATCTCTCTGTCCCCACTCCAAACACACACATTGGGACAATTTAGGCACAGTTTCCACAGAGGCCCTCCTAACATGCTTCACTTTACCACGTCCTTGAGACCCAAATTAGGCCAAAGTCATCAGGCATAATGTAAAACTATAAATATGGGAAGAAATAAGGTTTTCCTTCGATTTGCTTGGTTTTGGACTTTGAAACAGGGTTTCACTGCTTAGTCCTAGGTGGGGCTCACTATGTGCAGGAGACTGGCCTCCAAATCAGAGTCCCACCTGCCTCTGCCTCTGCTTTTACTTTTGAGACCATCAGCTCCAAGAATAATACATGCTTCTGGCTACATTTGCTACTCTTTCTGAAAACAAAAGCAACAATGAAATAAAGCCAGTAAAATAGGAGGGATAAAACCCTGCTAATGCTCATGAGCCATGGATCCAGCCAAGCTTTGAGCCCCCCTCCCCCCGGATTTTCAGACTTCATAGACCAATGAAGTGTCTCCTTCATTGCAGTGGCAGGAAGTACTAAAGGGGGAAAAAGTACGGTTTTCGCCTATGTACGCTACAGTGTCTTTGGAAACCATGGGATTTCTTGGGGCTAATTTACCTGGAAACGGTAGAAAATGTAATTTATCCGTTTTGTGTGATGCAGAGAAATTCTTCATGTGCGTGAGAAACCTGGAGCAGGGCAAGGCTGCTTTCTCAGCACGAGGGCTAGGCTGTGAGGAGAAAGAGAAAAACAAACCAGACAGCGTCAGGGCGGTGACTCCACACAGGGCACCTACAACCCTGCCTTCACTAAACGAGTGTTGTCTCTTTATTCTTTAAACATTATGATCCTGGAAATGCTAGCGTTGGCTCTTGTAGCCCACAGCGCGAGCGCAAGCACACACTCCCTTACACACCACACACACACACACACACACACACACACAGCCCCACTGTGAACATTTTCTGCTCATGCAGAAACTACCTTCTTGAGTTCCACCGTGTGCCAAAAATGGTTCATGAAACTGATGTGTTTTAGTAAAGCGCGACAAAAAAAAAAAAAAAAAAGAACAATAGGCCGGGCAGTGGTGGTGGCACACGCCTTTAATCCCAGCACTTGGAAGGCAGAGGCAGGCGGATCTCTGTGAGTTCAAGGCCAGCCAGCCTGGTTTACAGAGTGAGTTCCAGGATTTGCTCCAAAGCTACAGAGAAACCCTGTCTCGAAAAACAACAACAACAACAACAAAGAACAATAGATATCAAATGGGGATGCTTTTGTTTTCGTTGTTGTTGACAATAAGATGAAAACAAGGTAAGGTTAAGAGTAATGAGGAAATGTTAGGAGTAGTACTCTTCATTCTGAAATATTTGTTTTTAATTATATGCATGTTTGGAGGGGTATGTGCACATCAGGGCTGTGCCTACAGAGGGCATCAAATCCACTGCGGCTGGAGATCCTGGCAGTGTGAGCCTCTCGATGTGGGTGCTGGGAACCAGGTTCCAGTCCTCTGTAAACACAGTAAGTGCTTTAAACCATTGGTCCATCTCCCCAGCCCCCCAGCCCCGCCCCCGCACTCTAATTTATACACGGAAATAAGATACGGCTTCCCAAACAGAGGTGCTTTGGAATTAGACTCACGGGTAAAGGGGGTAGCTATGAGGTGACATAGGAGGGGTCATTACAAGCACAGGGGGTGTCTAGCAGATCAGAAGGTAGATCTGTGGAAAGGCAGAAGCAGTCTGGAGGTAAGAGAAGGGATGCTCAAACCAGCTGTTGTGACCCTGAAGTAATCCAAACCAAAAAAAAAAAAAAAAAAAAAAGGAGAGGGGAAATAGCTACACATATTGAATAAATAACAGTGAATTAAGTAACCAAAAGGATGATTTCACTTGATTTTAGGGAAAAGCAGTTCATTAAATATCTTATCAGTACTAATTGTCCATCAGTGTTTATATGCCATTTTAATTGTTTGGATATGATTGAATAATATATATCATTGCTTAGATAGTGGATACCATTGTATGCATAATTCTTTCAATACTGAAGATAGTATCTATCTGGGGTAGAGCTAACTTGCTGGGTCAGTGAGTGATCAAACCATCCCTGAATGAAGAATGAGATCTTCCCTCTGGAGTTGGGTTTTTCATGTCAGCATTCTGCAGACCTCTCCCAAGTCCATCCATCTCCCCAGAAACGAAAAGGTTATGTCAGGGTCCAAAACACTAACCTTAATGGAGGGTCCTGTGAATCTCTCACTTTGCTCCAAGCCAAGGAGGTAGAGAAGGAAGGTATTGCCTTTAGCCACAGGGCAATAATTAGGCGCTGAGAGACCCAGACTACATACACCAGTGACAGAGTTTGGGAGATCAACAGAAGACCGCATTATAAGTCTTTCTGACCAATCACATTTTCTTTATATTAGCTTAGCTACCTGTAGCCCTGTCTGCAGTTCGCCTTCATAGAATTCTTTTTCTAAACAAAAAAAAAAAAAAACTTAAATAAGGCTAAAAAAAACCCAAACAAACAAACAAACAAACAAAAAAAAACCCAAAACACTCTTAACTATGTTTTGTCCATAACTGTCATTTTAAAAGAATCATCTGGGGAATATATATTTTACAATACAAATCCTGACACAAGATGCCTAGGGCAGAGCACAGGAGTATACACGGAATAAAAAAGAGATCTACCCAGGCAGTTGATACAGATAACAGATAACTTCCTATTCATTAGAACACCGTGCTAGCTCAGTTACACTGCCCAGAAGCCTACTGCACCAGCAGGTTCTCCCGCTCCCCTCCTGCTAATCCGTGGGTCCGCATCCTTGCAGAATTTCCAGCAGATTAAAGACCTGGACGACATTTGCTGCGAAGGATTTAATGCTATCGGAACCAGACGCCTGCCTCTTCCTCTACCTGCGGAGCAGAGGACTCTAACTTCTGCGATCTAAATAAACAAACAACGGAAGGCCAGGCACCGACAGCTAATGCGGTCCATGGCCCCTTGTCTTAGTCACCAAACCTCGGCATAGCTTGGCTACAGGAGACACGAGGCTTTACTGGTCTCTTTTGGATAGAACTAAATAGAACTGATGTTTCAAAACACACATTGTTACGTCCAAAGGGTGCGTTTCATGGAGTTAGAATTGAACTGGGATGATAGAGAACGCACGGGGAAGAGGCTGCCAGGGTCGAGACAAATGAACCAGACTCCTTAAGAGGGAACATCTCACCCTTGGGAAGGGATGCCTCTCTACGAAGATCTGTTGCAATCGCTTGATTCACTGTCTGAACTAGGCTCGCGCTCTATATTTTAAAGCGCAGCCCCCACCTTTCTTGGGGGGCGGGGGAGAGCAAACTTTCACCACAAAGACACAAGAACAGTCAATATTGATCTTCCTGACAAATGGCGCACCTCATGCCACAAGCCGCTCAAGCGTCTGCTCAGCACGGCAGCCGCCCCCTTTGTCGGGACATAATGCCAAGTGGTCTCGTGCGCTATCAGCTGCAGATCACAAATATTGAAAAGAAATAAATTTCGCTGAACGAAAAGCACCTTTCTTTGTTCTGCAGCCCTCTCTCCTCCCAAGTCATGTTGATTTTGGGGCTGTGCATACTCCCAGCACCTGTACTTTTCAATTGTTTGTTTGCCAAGCCCGTTGTGGTTTTTCTTTCTTGGCTTGAGGATCCATTCTAAGTACAGTAACCAATGAAATCGTATTTTCTTTCTCTGTTGGCATTATGTAAGGGAAGCAGCCGCTTTGGGCCACCTACAGCCACGGTAATTAGACGACACAGGAGGACAGAATAAGAAATCGGAGCTCCTCTACCCAGCCTTCTCCCGTAGGATCATGGGAAATGCATCTCCCCTGCAGACCAAGAGCAAAAGCAAGGATTTCTGTAGCAGCCTTGTTATTTGGCTGGGGTTTTAACGCCATGAAAGGCGATGCTTTCTAACTTGTTTTGCAGAAATCTGCAATCATTCTTTAATTGAGAATTGAGCCCTAAACGATAAGAAATGCTCTTGCAGTGTGTGTGCTACAATCTGAAGAGCCACGGAGGTTGAGTACCTGCCGTGGGAACGGAGAATGAGAGGATCTCCAAAGCGAAGGGCAGTGGGATATACAGCGTTATGAAAAGATAAAGGGGAAACTAGAGTAAGGGAAGAGGCGTAAAGAAGAGAATACAGGGAGGTACAACTAATACTGAATGCCATATGGAAGCCTACCACTGTAGAAGTTTTATATATATAAATATATATATATATTAGTATGTTCCTTTTCTATAGGAACCTATACACCTATAGGAACCTATATATATGTATACCTATATAAAAGGAACATACTATAAAATAGGGAAGAGAATGCTATGCCGCCAAATAAAACCACCAGTTACAGAAATGGGGTACATCTTTGAGTTCTTGGCCAAGGGGGTCCCACAGAACCACATAGCCAGCATCACAAGCTACCATCAGGGCGACTGGTTGTTTTCTACAGCCTGCTGGCCAAGCCTTATCGCTGAGGGAAACACATCATTCACACAGAGAAGCTGGCTTCCCGCTCAACTAGAAGCCTCACCCCTGCACTGGCTAGTGTCCATGGTGCTTGGGAGGTACTCTGTATACTGGCAGAGGAGAAAAGGGATCCTTAGCATCACCCTGCTACAAACTCAGGGATCCAAACAGTAACCCCCTCCCCTGCAGGGCTAGTCCCAGCACACAGAAGGGCTTCTGTTACTTTTCTTTCCAATTTTATTTTACTTTCATGAATCTGGGGGTCCAGATTACCATACTGGATCTACATGGTTTGTGTAAAACAAATACTTATATGTGCACCCATCCCTGCAGATTCCATTCCATTCTGTTGACAGTGGCAACTTTAGTTCAGGGCCAATGGCAAACTGAGATTCTGTCAAAACTCCCTGAATGGAGGCTTCACAGTGAGAGACAGCAGAAGCCAGGCTGCTGCAGCTATCTGACCCACAAAGGTTCCTTTCTCTCTTAGGATGGGTTGAGCTGGGTGGGCTGTATTCACACGTTGTTCTTCCTGGGGCCTGGATGCTGTATTTGCAAGATGGGGGTTCAAAAAGCGGTCTCTGTTTATGGAAGTTAATTTTACTCGAGGTAAAACGGATTGCTTCTGATAAGGGGTTGGGACACATAAGGCTGCCACTCACTCTGCCTAGGGAAGAAATTCCAAGTAATCTACTTCTCCCCCAAATTAAAGGGACAGCGCTTGCTACCCAACCCTTATGCCTACAATCAAGAGGTATGTTCTATTGTTGCCTGTACACGTAGTAGGCTCTACGGTACACGCAGTAGGCTCTAGCGTAAAAAGCCGAAACTACACTCCTTAGGTGCCTGCCAATTGCAGCTGCTTTCAGCTTCTTACAGCATCCAAAGCTTACAGGAAATCTCAGAGGAAACATGGAAATGCCATGGCCCTTGTGCAGCAGGAAACCCAGACCCATGTAAAATGGATTTGTAGAAAGAGTCGTTTCTTATACAAAGCCATCCTGTAGTCTAGAGAGATTGGTCAGTGGTTAAAAGCACTGGCTACTCTTCCAGAGGATTCTGATTCGATTCCCAGCACCTACCTGGCAGCCCACAATCATCTGTAGTTCTGGTTTGAAAGGATTCAATAGCCTTATTATGATTGCCAAAGAAACCAGGCACACATGCCGTACACAAACAAACATGGAAGTAAAGCGATCACACAGAAGATAGAAAATA